TCAATGCGACTGTTATTTTTTTGTATGTGTGTTACGCGATAACTCATTTGTGAACCGACAATGGTGATTCTTTTTTGTTGGAAAGAGGGTAGGTACCTCAGCAGTGGTCCCATTATAATTTGAAGAAAATATTCCCCCTCTAAGGGTGGCAAACTTGGGGATGAATCCGGTTTCGCGCACTTTCCGGTAACCGATTTCAATAAAACTTTGCAAATAGATGTGATTTCATGAGCTTTTGACGTCGGTTTTATTAGTAATACCCTATACTGAGATAATCTAGCGATGTTATTATTCTAGCGATAGTCCAATCGTCGGTTATTTAATCCAAACTAATATTATAATCCAATCGAATATTATAAATGCGAAAGTAACTCTCTGTTACGTTTTCACACCTAAACCAAATTCGATGAATTTTGGTATAGATATAGATAGGATTTAGAAGGCTATTTTTTATCACAAAAATAAATCTTAAAGGGAGTGAAACAGAGGAAGAAAGTTTGTATGGAGAACCAACCATAATATTAGCCTTAGAACTAAATCCAAACTCATGGTACCACGATTTCGTTTAGCTAAGGTAAACGATTCTTTTATGGGGAACTGTATACGTTTTTACAATAAGATTCCGGAGCATATATTACGATTATCATTTCCTACGTTTAAAACTTACATTGCAAGTATTTTAATTGAAAAGTCGTATTACGAAATGGAAGAGTAGGTGTGTGTTAGATAAAGATATATGGAATGAAACATGAGTCTAGATTCCACACACTTAGGATTCAAAGTGTTATCCATAGCATTTCAGTTTATTTGAATAGAGCAATCTCTAGAGTTTCTTGCTCGTTCTTCTCAGGGAAGTCAGCGTAGTAAACGAGCAGTAGCTTAAAAAATGACGTTTTCAAGTGTAAAAATCATTTCTCAAGTAAGTAGTACTGTAGATTACTCGAAGTACTTATTCTGCGCAGATGAAGTCGCGGGCACAAGCTAGTTAAGTGTATTTACCGGTGTCCAACTTCGTTCTACCACAAAGTATACCATTGTCAATGTTTTCACAAAGTAATTCAGTGGTAGTTGCCCAACCCAGTTCGTTCAGCGGAGCGTAAAGGCCGAAATCATGAAAACGAATAGTTTGTTAGTGCATTCTATGTTGGAATTGTAACGTTATACAAAATTCTGTATTATGATACTGTGAATGTCAGAGATGAACTTTGATTCTTCGATACGGAATTATATCACACAGATGTAATGTGGAATTTTTTGGGGAATTATTTACTTCGTGTGCAAAAGTACGGTTTATTTTTCACAGAATCCTAACTCCGAAACTTGTTTCTAAACTATGCCTTGTGAAACAGTGTCTTGCACTTCACTTTGACGTTATCTTTAACTAGCCTTAACTTTTGTCACAAATTTCTCAATAACATCGCATTCAAATTACGTGACATCCAAAAAATAGTTTTGAAAACGAATTGCTGAAGGAATTGAAAACTGTTTCAATCGATTTCAGTGCACTTACAGACTACTACTACTTTGAAGTTCACATCATACAAAAATAAATCTTTATCCGAGCCCACGAACAAGAGTAATTTTACCAGGGATAACAGGGCCGTAGGTCAATTGGCATCTACTTGCCCCAATTAAGATAGGCATCGAGTCGAATTAGTGTTATCAATCATAATCATAATCATGAGGGTTATTACGATATATTGAATTTGTTTTCAATGAACCGTGATTAATCTATTAACTTCGATTAAAATTACAAATATGGAACTTATACAACTTTTTTTTATGATACCAAGTCGCGACACGAACAAATCGCGCGCCTGATGGTAAGCGACACGTCGGTCCATATCAATTGCAGTGCCACACAGATCTTTAAATCCCAAAGATCTGAGGGGCACTGCCCGCGCCCGTCACCCCGATACATAAGTTGACAAGTCCCATGTGCCTGTAATTTCACCAGCACCCTTACCCCCAAGAGCGGAACGCAATAATGTTCACATTGTTGCTTGGCGGCAGAAATAGGTAAGGTGGCAGTACTTCCCAGGACTAAGCTCTACTGCTACTGAGTAAAATATTTAAGAGAAACCAGTAAAACACGACGCCGATTTCAAGTGTAATTTTACAATGAAACTCTAAAGTAATAACGTCGTATACTTATACGAGTATAAAATCGGACAACATTCCAGTTACCTACTCCTAATTTTAGTAGCAGTAGAACTGCTTGTGAAGAGTTCGTCCAGGGAAGTACCGCCACTCTTACCTATTTCTACCGCCTAGCATTAATGTGAGTATTCCTGCGTTTCGGTTTGAAAGGGTAAGGGAGCTGGTGAAATTATAGGCACATGGGACTTGTCAACTTATGTCTCTGGATGACGGGCGCAGTGGCAGTACCCCTAAGATCTTTGCGATTTAAAGCTCTAAGTGGCACTGCAACTGTCATGAATTGGCGTGTCGCGTGCCACCGGACGCACGACTTAATCGTCCCGTCACTTGGTACTATAAAAAAAAATTGAAAATATTTTTGTGTACAGATGTAGTGAATAATCCTTTCCTATCGGCAAAACTCGGAACAACGATAACACCCGAATGGTGCCGATGTGTCTATGAATTACTGTATTATTAAATTACGTGTAGGTATCAAATAAATCGCATACTTTATTTATCAATGTCAAATGTCAAACTGCCCGTTTGACGTATATTACACTGAGATGTTAAAACCACCACGATTCTATCATATAAAGAATTCGTTAGGTAAACAAAAATATAACTAGTTACCGAGGACGTTTTATTTCAATAAAACGCACTGATAAAAACCAAATTCCGGTTGGGATGATCTAATTATTCTATAAGGATTGGAACCCCAAAAGTCTAACTATAAGTCAAAACTACAGTTGGATTTTGCAGACCTTTTTTATAACAATTAATTTTTTTAATTAATTAAAAATACTATGACATAACAAAAAAGACACCTCAACATAAAACAAAACAAACCAGCAGAGAAATTAATATAAATAAATATGATTTTCTGATTGGATGAACGACTTCGATTATGACAGCGGGATAAGAGGAGGAGGAGCGGGGTGGACAGTGTGATGCGAAACAATACTTCCAACTTCCATATCACAGTCATATTCAGAACTATTTTCTGGTGTATCATCGTCAGAGTTTTCATGAACGTTGATTACAAAACTAGCCATATAATTTTCCAACTCAGGTTCGTGTTTTCGGTACTCGTTTTCGCATTTGATGGCGTGGTCACATACTTTGGCCCAAACATCGGAACCAATCATATTAACCTTTTCCTGTACCAATTGTTTCACAGTAGTCATATTCATACTGATGTTTCTTTTGGATACGTATCCCTTTATTTGAGACCATATGTTTTCAATCGGATTGAAATCAGGATGATATGGTGGCAATCTAAGGGTCGTATTCTAGAACTCTACTCAATGCTCAAGTCAGGACTTGAGTATGATTCAAAGCACTCGAAATCATACTCAAGTCCCTGCCATTAGGGTCGTATTTCCAGTGCTTGTGTTTCCAGTGCAATCCTGACTTGAGCATTGAGTAGAGTTCTAGAATACGACCCTTAGTACGCTGTGTCCATATTCGTTCATAAGTTTATCTATAGAGTATTCTACAAAGTCTTGTTTGTACTTGCAAATAATTTCATATATTTCAATTTTTGTTAATGACGGATCAATCGGAACGTTAAGTTTGGATAGCCAATCAATCATGTCTTGCTTACGTGTATTTGAATTAGGAGGTTTTTCTACGTACTTATTATGATATGCAGCATTATCTACTACTAGTACCGAATGTGGAGCTAAGTTTGGAATGAGTTGATTACGAAGCCATTTTTCATAGTTTTCATTGTTCATCGCGTTGTGATAGTCACCTGTTTTATCAGTAGACTGATATATTAACAATGCCATAGGTATAAACCCCTTTCTACTACCAGTGTGCACTATTATAAGACGTTGTCCTTTAGAAATTAACTGTTTCACTCCGTTTTCTGACGAGTCAGCCCAGCTTTTACCTGCCAAATGTGAGGTATGGATGTATGTTTCATCCATATAAACAATCTCTCTCCCTGGCAATCTGTACTTTTTTATCGCGGCTAAAAACTTTACTCTTTTTAAACGAACATCATCTTTCTCGATAAGTAATTTTCTGTTGTTTTCAACTTTTTTATACCGAAATCCCATTTTTCTAAGAATTTTTCTTAGCGTAAAGTCACATCCTTTAAAATTTATGGCTTCGGATAACTTGGACTTCAGGGCTTTAATTGTAGGTACTTGTTTGTATATCAAATGGAAATTATACACTAATCGGCGTATAACGTTGTAGACCTAGACAAGATCGTCAAGACCTAGACAAAATAATTTATTTGGTCTACCCAACTTTGCCGACTTCGGACTATTGGAGGTAGATTGATTTATGTATTCTTTTTGCAATATTTTGTTTACTGTTCGTTGAGAAATTCCACTGGCCTCCGAAACTCGTTTTTGGACTTTACAAAAGTAAGCAGTATAGTTGGTATGTTTGAATTTATCATTTTCAGTTAAGAAATATAAATAAATATTGAAAATAACTTCGCAGGCTTGCCGATCTAAACGTTTCCCTTTTCTTAGTGCTTTCGGCATGTCTGTTATAAATTGTTAATGTGGATCGAATAAAATCAATGTTTATTATTTACAAAAATGACAGACAAGAGTGACATGTAAAAGGTCTATCAAAATATAGGTGGCCTGCATTAATACACGAGTCCATGAAGTTTATCACAAAATCTAACATAAATATATTTCTGTGGTATTAACTACTCTATATAGATACTTCCTCTTGCAATGCGACCTTTCCCTACGTTGTCTCGAGGGGTACTGAGTGCGAGTGAAGTAGTAAGACAAAAACGAACATTTCCGAGAAAATACGAAAGGAAAGGATTATTCACTACATCTGTAACAGTATATTCCAAACACCAATAAAAGAGCAAGATCTCTAACCTGTCGTGCTGTATCAGCGCAATCGAGCTGGCCACAAGATCTTCAAACTGCTTCTCACTAGCGGAACTTCCCTGTCTCTTATGATGATGTGGTGTATTCGCTCCAGAGGAGACAGGAGTCAAAGACGTCTGCACATCAGGGCTTAAAGTCTTCGCTGATAGATTTCCGCTAGATTTACTACCGAAGAGACGCCAGGAGACGGTCGGTGATGGAACCTTCTCACTCTCGTGGTTTTTTGACGATGAACTGCTTTTCCAGGGGAAGACGCCTCTGTAACAATTAGAAAATACAGATAAGAGTTATGTCAGAAACGATTTTATTGAAGATAAAGCCGCTGAAACCATCTTCAAAAATGTTACTCTCTTGTTAGGCATTTGTGATATGTGACACGATGTGCAGAAGAAAATGAAGAGAAAGAACGGAAAAGATGAGGACTAATAGGTTAGCGTGGTACGGACATGTCATGCGGAGGGAAGAATGTCATGTGACGAGAAGAGTCTTAGGTATGGAAAGTGGAGGGATATAAGAGGAAAGGAAGGCCAAAGAACAGATGGATGGATTGTGTGAAAGATGACATGGATAATAACGTACACACGTACACACTCAACATAGCCCCGCACTAGGGAAACCCTGTGTCGCGGGTGCCATGGACACACACATAGACAACCACAAATTACACCCAAACTCACGAGAGAAATAAATGTAGGCCATACAAATATTTCTCCCGGCCCGGGAATCGAACTTGGGACCTCTGCGTGGCAGTCCGGCATGGTAACCGTTCGGCCACAGAGGCAGTTAATATAAATGGATAAGAAAGGTGTGAGTATAAAAATGAAGGCTGATAGGGGAGAGTGGAAGAAAAATACATGTTGTACCGACCCCACCTAGCGTGGGATAAGGACAGGAAGAAGAAGAGATACGGAAAAAAAGAAGTGGCATTGTGTGACTTTATTTATGATGGCTTCATTTACGCAAGAAAACAGATATAGATATCTCATTATTCGGTAGAAGTCCGTACAATTACGACTCCTGCTTTGTGATTTTAGCCACACTTTTAAATATAACTTCAAAAGTGAAAGGAAAACCAAAACAGCAAAAGTCCTATTAGCAAAGTTACAAAAAGGTTTTCTTCATTGTCAAAGAGAGTAGTCAATGACGGAACCCTCGGCGAGTGGGTGTTCGTTGATAAATTCTTGCACGAAACTTTGGCACGCCACTTGACTGTTGACACGCAAACTGATTTCCCAAATTTATATACTTAGCTGGAGCATTATTTCGTAAAATCCTCGCTAACGAGCTTTAAGTTTCGTTTCGTTTAAGAGTCCGGTGACCAGAGGGTACCCTCAGCTACTTTCGCCAAAAAATAAATTAAGCTATTCAAAGTGGAAACGTTACCCGCCTTCTAGATATAACACCCAGGACATGACCCTTGGATGAAATTCACTACCTTTAACTAGATGACTTAAGGGCTTATTTTTTCTTCTAAAATAATAGTTAACCCATATGGTCACACTGCTAGGCAGAGGCCTCCTCTCACAGTGAGAGGGCTTGGGCTGCAGTTCTTACGTGAACACAATGCAAATTGTAAACTTTACAAACATCATTAAATTACTTTTCCGATGTGTTCAGGTTTCCTCGCGATGTTTTTGGTTACTGAAAAGCTCATCATAATTATCAATTCGCACATAAATTCCGAAAAATTCAGAGGTGGAAGCCCGGATTCGAACCAATCACCGTCCGTTAAGCATATTTATAGAATTTCCAAATATACGCGTATATTAATAAAATAGTTGTACCAACCGACATTTATACTCAAATGTGTTATTCATTGAAACGAAGTGTTAAATATATGTACTTAAATGTGTTGTTTCAAAACTAAAACGTTGGTAGGTAAAGATTAAGATTTAAACAATGTAAAATTTAAAACGTTTAACACAAAGACATGTCAGATTGTCCAATCAGGAAGTTTTATAAAACGTATATACATAAATTGACACTGTAAGGCCTTACGTTTACTTATGTTTCCCTTCCGTATTATATACCTTTCCCTCACTTTCACTTTTTACGTGTAGTAAGTATATTTTAATAGATTTAATCAACAAGTGATATAAGGAGAATACTAGAGATTTCTTACAAAAATTTAATTTTATTTCTTTATTTTCCCTCTTAAATAGATTTGTAAATTTATTATAATTTTATTTGATTGACTTGACTGATTATTATTGTACAAATTATTAATGCATAAACGTTTACAAAAAAAAAAACGAAGACGAGGAAATAATGAATCGCTGTGATTCAAACTTACTTCTTGAAACTTTATAAACTCAGTTGAACACTCCAGTGACCAGAAGACTAGCAGTTGCTTCTGCGAAAGAATAATCCTAGCTATCGAAAAGAGAAAGGTTGAAAACTCCTGGACACGATACACCAGGGCGCGACTTTCAATAAAATTATTTCCCTTTAATTAAATTCATTCAAGCTTGAAAATTTTATTAAGTATACTTTTATGGGAACAGGATGGGACTGGACACGTCTGTCGCACGCACTCACTGAGATAGGCTCACTCAGTCCCATGGTAGATACCGGAGAACGGCAAGCGACGACGGAGCAGACCAAGAAAGAGATGGCAGCCAGACATTGCGCCAAACCGGGAGCTGTGGCAGTCGAGAGGTATTGGGGCTCATGCACTGATTTATAATGTTTATACTAATGTAAATTGTGTTTAATGAGATTTGTATGCTTCTCAAGCTTTAACGGTGCCGGAAAACATCGTAAGGGTGCATACAGATCTGGTGAATGCGCTGCAAATGCATCCGTTTTCGAAAGGCTCGCGAGTAGCACAAGTGCATTACATAAATTCACATCCTTAATAAACGTAACCAATTCGTAATGAATTAAAAATGTAATGAAATATAATCTAATATAATAATATGATATAATAATGTAATACAATAATAATAATAATATAATATACAGATTGACCATAATATGTAAAATTTTTTAAAATATTGTAAAAAAATATCTTTGGTTTGGTGTAATTCTTTTGTAGTAACAATGTTTTTGTCGATTACCTGCAAGACAGGCTTTGCCTAATACAGGAATCATGGGAAATTCTCTGTACGCGATACACACTACAACTGAGTCGTGTTACCTGGTTTTATGTCTTAATTTAAATTGTAATGTACCTACACAATTTCATTCTAAATAAACTGTTTTGTATTTTGTTGTTGTGCAATCTGTTCCCACGTAAATTAACGTGTATTTAACGCGGTTAACACGGATTTTGCGCGCGTGCAGTGTAAGTGTATAGCGCGTTCGCGCATTCGCCAAATCTGTACGTACCCTTAGGAAACCTGTTTGTCATAGGTCTAAAAAAATCTCTTCGAATGGATGCCAAGCCTATAAGTCCAAACGAACTAACATACTTTTACACGAGACTTGTACTTGAGTTTACAGTGGTGTATTCGCTGGGGACCAAATAAAATGTTTGTATGGCAAATGTTAGTTCTTCCTATGACCACTCGGGGCGCTGTACAATTTACTGTACTAAGCGGTCGCCACCGATTTGTGTACATTGGAAATAGACATTGTAAACCCACGGCAGAGCTGGCGAAATTAAAGACGTCGAAGTGTCAGACACAATTGTCAGCGAGACTGTACGTGGGCGGGGAATGATAAATAGCATCAATGAGTGCCAGCCGCTAGGATATTAAATTAGCCACGGCTATATTTGAACGGAAATACGAACAGTTGGTAAAGGCATTGTCAAGATCATTCAGTAATAATATGGTGCTAGTTAATAACCAGTATTTTATATTATATTTAGAAGAAAAATTGTGTAATTGTGAACAAAGATGACAATTTGTTTTGATTTTCTGTATTTTATTTACTAATTCTGGGATTTCAGTGGGAGGTTATAATCCACTATACGTGTATTAGGTTTTTTTTTAATAAGTCCGTTTTGTCCCACTGCTGAGCACAAGAAGTTTTTTTTTAGGTTTCAATTTAGGTATTATAATGCCGGTTACTGTCTCTGTTAATAACATGAAAAGTATCTAGGAATGTTCTATGTAAACGCTTGGTTTTACCACGTATTACAAACTGGCTTCAAAAGTCTAAATTAAGGAATGCAATAATAGTTAATAAAATAAAAAAATATTATAATATAATTACCTCATTAATATGACACTCTACAATACTGAAGATTTCTTATAACATTTTATTTACACTAGACAGACTTGTTTTTTTTTATTATAGTTTATTATTGATATGTTTTATTATCATATTTTTTTTTGTTGTTATGACTAATTGGACTGGTTAGGTATAGTGTATCAATTCACATATTATTGTTTGTATAGAGTACACATAAAAATAATTAAAATTTTGCATGCTGCAAGGCGAATCACAGACTACTAAATCCATTCTTGTACCCTTCAGGAATCCGTGACTTTATTTCTGCTATGAGTGTTACATAACTGCACTACGAAATTTTATATGGTACAAAATAACTACATACAAAACACAACCTCGATTAGGAATTCCAAAAATAAACTTACGAACACGGCCCGCTTGCCACAAGTGCAAAAAGAAATATCGATATGCGATCTCTACAGCGATGTATCTGATCTCGGTCCCTCACTAACTGCCGTATCTGACATTTTTATCGTAGCTGACTAAGACGTACGATCTTTGCTCAGCTTTCAAAAGCAAACATTCTCCGCTTATCGTCGCCTTTCTACCATTTTTATACGTATATCAATATAACTCACAGATAGAACGAATAGAACGAGAGCTACATCTCATTTTCATTACATTTAGTAGCAGAAGAGCTCTTTGTGAAAAAGTTCGTCCAGGGAAGTACTGCTACATTACCAATTTCTGTCGCCAAGCAGTAACGAAATTACAGGCACATAGGACTTGTCAAATGTCTCAGGGTGTCGGGCGCGCTGACAGTGCCTCTTAGATCTTTGCGATTTTAAAGGTCAGTGCCACTGCAACTGTGTCATGGACAGGCGTGTCGCTTACCACCAGGCACACGACTTGTTCGTCCCAACATCGCTCTATGTCATAAAAACAAAAGTCTCAACATATGATAAAATTTGTTTTATACTACTTTCGAGAGTTGGGCTAAATTTACAGTGTCACGGAACGGAATGGAAGCGAGTTTTTGTAACCATAGCATAATTAACTTTATGTCAATTGTATAACGTAAAAATAGGACATTTTGGGTCTTTTATCAAGCGCCGCTTTGTTCCGTCATTTTGTAAGCA